TTCATACATCCAGAAGTGCATAAACATATCCAGATACTTAAGGTCTTTATCATGAATACAATGAATTGAGCTACCTTAATATTATAATCAAGGACTTTTAAAGTCTACATAGTATACTGCAACCATTGAATATTAATGCTTTATATTGATATCTATTTATATTAAACAATGATTGGCTGTTCCTTAACATTTATCAGATGGTTCATATTAATTGTATAATCACTTAGTTAACCTATTTTTTCTCATTTATGTATAACTTAACTTATTACTTTCTCGTAACACCATTGAAAATCTGCAAAAGGCCAGAAAAATCTGTCTCATCAGACACACATACAATAATGTTTCATTTCAATATTTAAATTAGAAATAACTATAGAAATTCTGTCAGCTCTGGATTTGATTTACATAATAAACATATTTTTACCTATCCAATTGGATAGATAACTCATATTACTTAATCTGCTTAAAATATCAAGTCTTGTCAGTGTATATAGTATCCTTTATTTTATGGATAATATTCTCCGAACATCTAATGCAATTCTTTTTTATAATTCATAACCTTATCTTGGGGGATAAGTATATCATCATAACATATAAATATATGATGAGTTAGTCCATCTTCTTCATTTATTATGTAAGGGTCTTTAGCAGGGGAAAAAAATATCTTCTTCTGTATGTTTCGTTTGTTTGCTTTTTATGATATTTTGTAATATTCTTGATAAGTTCTGATTGTATTAAAATTTTAATTAATTAATATATTTAACCTTTTTCTTATTAGGCATTATTTTTATATATTTTTAATGAAATTTAAAAAAAATCTTCCCACTCGTTTTTGTCATTTATAGTGTAATGTCTAATTTAAATTGATGTCCTAATTTTGAATAAAGGTTTGATTTTTTTAAGACATAATCTTTTCTCCATCCATCTGTTTTCTCTCATTTTAAGTAACTTTTTCTTGCTAGCTCCTTTATTCAATAAAGGTTCTTTCTATTTAATTAGCTACTAGTTCCTTTTTTAACTCGAAAATTTAAAATTATTATAAATATTATAAAATATGAAAGAATTATTTTTAGAAAAAAATAATAAATATAAAATAGTTTTACAATATATTTATTGTAAAAAAGAATATATTTAATTGTTGTATTTATGTTTTTAATTCAAATTGGATATTTATAATTGTTAAATTTATTTATGTCATTTATCTATGGCTCCCTTTTCTAAAAATAATGATTACGGAGAATTTTTTGCAAAAACTTTATAACAAATAGATGGTCTACAATTTATTGCTATAGTTTGAATAAAACTTAAATAATTGAATGGATCCATCTTTAAGAGCTATGTAAAATTTTTCACCACAAGGAGAAAAACAACCTTAAATTACTGAACATTAAAATGTGTATTTTGAAAATATCTATTAGTCAGTCGAACGAAGATAGATTCTCAATATTTTGCTTTCACCACATAAACCTAAAAATATTTATTTATTAAGAGAACGAGTTAAATACTTAGTTTCTTCCTCAAAATGAAATTCTTCCTTTTAATTTATTATGAATTTCCAAAAAATAATTTAAGTCCCATCATTCCAAACCAAAGTTTCTGAATCGAAAAACTTAATATTTTCAATAATTTTTTTATCCATTATGTGTGTTCAATTTATTATTATCTATTTTAGTCACAAATAATAATAGTGGCATCTTAGTTTTTCTGATCAACAAATAATTAATATTTTCCATCAGATGACTATTTATAAAACTCATGTAAATCAACTTTAGGCAATTCTTTATGATAGGCAAGCAAAATATTAGAATTATAATCAAGAATATGAATAGAATTATCATTCCCAATCAATGCTATTTGGCATTCCTAATCATATAAAATCTTAAAAGCATATACAGAAATTTAATCTTTCAAAAATAAGAACTGAATTGATTTTGTATTTGTTAAATTCCATAATCTTATGATTTTGTCTTGCCCAAGTGATTTAAGAATTAACAATTTTAGGAAAACT